AAGCAAGTATCCAAATATTTCACAGTTCAGTGGCAGATGGAATTAAACCAAGATCTCAATTCCTTTCCGTTCCAGCAAAAATAAATAAAACAAAAATGACTTTTAGAAGCTTATAATAACTGTAAACTGAATATGTGAGATATATCAGATAACAAGGAATGATTTCCAACTTCCAAAGCTCTACTGAAAGCAGACACTTTAATATCAATGAAATTTTAGGGCAAACAGGGGAAAAGCAGGAATAGATGAAAAGAGAAGATAAAAGAGGGCAGGTACAGATCTCCAAATATTGAACTTGATTTCCCACCAGACCCACACAGTATGGTTAATGGTAAGAGACTGTTGAAAGAAAAATCACGTCCAGTTCCAAGCCCGGAGAAAAAAATGGAGGCTGACTGCTTAGGAAAAAAGGTTCTTGTTTATTGATGGGCAGAACCAGCAACAGTATGCAGTTCTGGGACAGCTGACAAAATGGTTGAGTGAGTGGATGGATCTTTATAGGGTTCTGATTGAGATGGTCCAGGGGGTTGTGCAATGTAGTGAGCCTTGTACCAATGGTAGTGGGTAAATCCTATTATGTCCTAAAGGTCATGTTCTGTCCTTAGAATTTGGGTAGGGGAATGTAAATTCTTAATCCTATCAGCTGAGGAGGCTGAAGGCGTTTTGTTTATGAATAGATTGGCCCAGTCTTTCTTAATAGGTATAAAATATCCATCTCTAAAGACTTGAGGCTATTAAGAAAGACTGGGGCTGCTTTCTGCCTTTGTTAAGATTTTTCTCCATTTCTCCTTTGGGGAAATATAGTATTCTACCTCTTTTTAATATTAAGAATAAAGAATATTTTAATCTGGGGAGGAGGGCCTTCCTACAAAACGATAGGAATTGCAGTCTAATACATGCAGACTGGATAGAGACTACTTCAAATTATTTTTTGTCTTTTAATCTATTACTGGTGACTACTCAACAAAGCTTTCTTGGCAATAATGTGGATGTGGTTTGCTGCTGTTTTATTTCACAATGTTTTTTGACTTCTTGGTCTAAGCTTATAACTCTAAGATTTCTTAATGAACTCTTGTTTAATATTGAGCAGGTCTGATCCAGCTAAGCTTTTCTAAGATCAGCCAAATCTGGTTTTGAATTATCTTCATATTAGGAAAAAAATCTGTAGTACCAATGACACGTATTTTAATGGATAGTTGGATATTTTGAATATAACCCCCTAAACTCCCCCAAACCAGGAAAACTAGGAAAAGAAACATTAAAGAAGTTGGTAAATTAACTGTGACATAATTCCCATAATGTGAAACGTACGCCACAAATAGCCTAAGGAAAACATTCTAACTGCAGGCCTATTGTCTTACCAGTTGGTCAGGTTCTCCCTTTCTATTAAGGCCAGATCTCCAGCTTGGTCAGCAAGAGTATGAAATGAATGTTTCGCCTGACTTCCTACTTTGAGCTCTCTAAAAAAATAACTAGAAAAAGCCAGAGTTTGGAGGAACGGGGGATGGAGGCATCCTTCTGTTTAGATGCTGGCAAGTGAATACACAAAGATATAGATTGAGATAGGATACTCAAAAGACATATAAAACATTGATTTGTTATAAAACTCAAATAAAAAAGTACAATTCATGTACAAGAGGGGGGGAAAGGTGAAAAAGCAAAGTGTCATTGAATTATACATAAGGATACAGATTGCCTGATACTACTCTTTTTTATACATATCTTAAAAGATATATTCAGAACTAAGTCCAGAAAATGGGAACAGAAAAGAATGAAACACAGGCATGTATAATGAGTGGGAAATCTCATCAACTCTGGTTCACCAATGAGGGATCAGGTGATCCATAGTTATTTATTAGGGTTTTTAGACTGTTACACACATGCAATATTCTGATTTAACTAGAAAAAAAAACCTCCAAAGTAAAATACAATAATCAATACCATTGACTATGGATATTAAGATGAATATGTTGATTAGAATCACTCATTTACATAAGAAAATTTTCAGAAAAATTCACATTTCTGCTTCTTATAATAATTATTTTCCCTATAAAAGTGTTTAAATATTAACATGTACATCTCTTTGAAAATCCGGTAAGGTACTATATTGGCTCTAAAGCAGTTATGATAAAGCACATGAGGCAAATTACAATCAGATAAATTAATACCAATACTATGCATCATATATTTAATGGTAATAATACATCAGATATTACACAGAATACAAAAGCAGCACAATCTCTACTGAGAAAGAACACAATAAACAGTATGTCAGAAGAACATTACTTTTTAGAACCAGATTCAACAGAAGCAATCTGCATTTAACAGAGCTTTCAGTCCTACATGTTGACAAAACTGATAAGACTTGGATTTAGAAAAATATCAGCTGAGAATTTATAGTAATCTCTGGCAGAACAAAATTGCTCTTTCTACTTTGTCATATATAAGAGTAATAACACACACAAAAACAGCATCAGCCATATGGACAGCATAAGTGAAGAATAAATGTAAGAGTAATCAGGAATGGGAACAGTATTTTTTCAAGGTAAATATATACTTATGAAGTGCTCAATTCTGAGGATTTTCACTATTCTCATTTTAGAATTTTATTTTAAAAGCAAGCAACAATGTAATTCCAAAAATAACACAACAGAAATCAAAACTATTACCACAGGAAAGAGCTTTTGCAGAATACTGACAGATGGAGAAAAGGTTTAGCATGCAAACTGGTTTTCTTTCTTAAGAACTGGTTTTGGCCTTTGTTACCTACATTTAGAAATAATATGTGGCTATTATCACTAAGATGCCTACAAATTTGTTTTCCATAAATCAGAAATAAAATGTAGGCCTACTTTGGGTTTTTCTATTTTAAGCAAGGCAAATGCAAACAAGGAAACAGGAATGGAAAGGCAATGCAGAATGTGAATGCATGGATTCAAATTATCTAACATTAAAATACAGCAAGAAAGCCATCAAGTTAGATCATGTTATACATATCAGAAATATCAAAGTTACAAAATACTGGGAATAAATAAGGAATAGAATTAGTAAGGAAGAAAAATAGGCCTACCAAAGAAAAGTAGAAAAAAATAGGAAATAAACATTCACTGTAGGTATGAGAATCATCTAAAAATGGTTTTTAAAAAGAGGAAAATTTAACAAAATGTCCATACTAAATGAAAATAATGAAAACTGAAGATATTTAATTGGATAAGGTAGAAAGATGAGGAAATGGTCTGAGTTATCAACTTAAACGTAACTAAAAAACTTCCCTTGAGGTTTTGAATTTTCTTTACTTGAGACCAATGCTGGCACATTTGAGTGTTCAGTATTTGATACACATGATTATTCCATTTAATTTCAATCATGTGTTACAAATGCCTAGCAGCACTGCTTGATACGCATAAAAAATAAAATAGCCTTAGACTTTTTGCATTCACAAACAGGATACCCAAATCCTATTCTCAGGCCTTCAGTAGTTTACTTTCTGTCAAGGGCCATTCCGGTGTCCAACTGTCACATTATCTTGACAGAACTTTTTTTTCCCTAAAAGGGTGCCTACCAAATGCATTAAACTTTCATATTTCCAGATAGCATCAGGACAATAGGGCATTGAGAAAGACTGGTATAATGATGGGATTAAGGACCTCAATACAATAATCTAAGATTTAATTGCATCACTGATGACTCTTTATTCCATAGTAATTGACTTTTTATTTTAATCAAGCTAGTAATTTCTAGCCCGGCTATTGCAGGATGCCTTGATCATACAAATGCTAATCTCAGAATCAGTATGCATTATATTAATACCCAAAGCAGAGACTGGTTAAGAATTTAGTATGCTCTAGGCCAGTGGTTCTCAACCTTTTTAATGCCGCGACCCCAACCGGTCGTAAGTCGAGGACTAAACCGGTCGTAAGTCAAGGACTAAACCGATCGTAAGTCGAGGACTAAACCGGTCGTAAGTCGAGGACTAAACCGGTCGTAAGTCGAGGACTACCCAACCGGTCATAAGTCGAGGACTTTCCCTGCCCGGGAGCGCCGCGCATGCGTGGTTCCGCCCCCTGCGCCGGCTGAGGCGTAGCTGGCAAGCGTCAGAGACGGAGCAGGCCGACCACCAGCTGGCCCAGCCCAAGGGAGGTAAGGCACCCGCCGGAAAATGGGGGAAAAAATGGCGGACAAAAAAATGGCGGACAGCCTTGCTTGGCGACCCCCATGAAATGGTTGATCGACCCCAAATGGGGTCCCGACCCACAGGTTGAGAACCACTGCTCTAGGCAACCTTTACATTTTATGAATGTCATCGATGTTTAGACACACAGAATCAACCAACAGAAGAAAAACTGACCAGCTAAGCTGTTCCTTTATTTTCAAAAGCTCCAAAGGGGTTTTGGGGCAGCTATTCTGTGAAGGGAAACGGTGCACCTTTCACACTATTTTTCTAATTTCAGCGGTGAATATCAGCCTAGCCTTTTGCTCAGGAGGAGGAGGGGAAAAAGGAGATAAGCACTTTATGCCCAACTCCCTCTAACTAGCCTACCAGATCGTTCAGCTTCCTTGTCATCTAAAGGTGTGGCTGTCTTATCACATATGCATCACAGTCCACCTCTATACCTAAACACAAACTTAAGTGTCGTGTTGCCTAAGGAGGAAAGAAAACAATCTGCTTAAGTGTCATGCGACTTGATCTGTCCTCAGTCCAAGATAAACACAGCGCACCAGGGAAGCTCATCCAGCTGTTGGTTCTCAAAAAGCACTCTGCCCACGTTCAGAGGACCCACTGAAAGGCACCAAAGCGACACTCGCGGATTGCAGAGAGATCGCGCCCGGACGTTGCCTCAATTCTCTCTCTCATTCCAGCGGGAAGTTCGGTTTCCCAAAGTCAAAAACCCCACCGCTCTGCATCTCAAGCCTTGGCGGAGGCGGCAGCGCTCTCAGCCCCATCAGTGCCGCAAGCCTCGCCACTCGACCCGGCCAGGGAGGCCACCACCTGCTCTCACCTTGTGAGTGTTGTTGCCAAGCACCTCCTTGCCGAAACCCTTGTCCTGCGGGCCGCATCCAGTCTCCGGCTCAGCCCCACCGCGTAACCCCCGCCGGACCCGCAGAGCCTTCGCCCCGAACCGGATCTCTCGGCCGTGGAGCGGAGCCGTCAGGAGCAGGAGCAGCCCTGCGTGCACCAAGGACGGCGACAACAACATTTCTATTCGCGGTCCCTACCACCAAACTCCTGTCCGTGCTCGGGGAACTGCTCACCTGCCGTCCGAGCCGCGAACGCCTCATTGGGCTGCGCCGAACAGGTATGCAAAAGCCATTGGCTGCAGCACACGTCAATCTGTTCGTCTTTCAGCCGCCAGCCAACCTCTCCCTGAAGCTTCTTTTCCATTCGCGCAGCGATCCCCGCGTCTGCTTTTCAAGTGGCTCGCTGAACTGCCGATCTCGGCACAGTGGACACTTCATTCCACCGGCCAGCGGCCATTGGCTATTCCTATGCCAAGCCTCCTCCCTTTAAATGAACCGGCTGGTCAATATCACCCCACTTTGAAGAGCGCTTTGCTCATTGGTTGGTTTCCTTCAAGCGTTTCCTTCTTTCAGATTCCCCGAGTAATTTAAGGCTTCACGAGACTTTACTCCTGTTGCTAGGATGCGAAGCAACTTTTGTTTTTTGTCCTTTTTTAAGGGTAGCGATTAAGAGCCGGCTTTCGTCCATTGTGTGCGGTCGGATCGAATGGTAGAACGGGGCACTTTCTCCTATCAAGCGTTTTCCTCTCATTGGCGATGTAGAGGTTAAAAGCTGGCCATGATAGGAATTATCCTTACAATATTATAAATGTTCCTGGGTTGTTTCTGCAGATCTTTAGAGAATCATTTAATATGCGGCAAAAATTATTAAGGGGTACTTATGGCACATGAAGAAATTAAGCAGTTGGTAAGTAGTGGATGGACACCTCCAGGAAGCTCTAAACTAGTATTTCTCGACCTCAACAACTTTAGGTTTATGGACTTCCACTCCCATAATTCAGAATCACAGAATAATAGAGTTGGAAGGGACCTTGGAGATCTTCTAGTCCAACCCCCTGCTCAAACAGGAGACCCTATATATCATTCCCCAGCTAGCATGCTGAATATTGAAATCCATGCAGTTTAAAATTGCTGAAGTTGAGAAATATTGCTGTAAACTATGCAAGTAATCAGGGTGGTTGGGTGGAACCCCTGAAGATGGCAATAATAAACCACTTTTATTTTACCAAGGAAAAAGGGTTAGGCCCTTATTCTTGGGAGTGATCTAAAATGTGCAGCAATTGTCACAGATTAATGCAAAAACCTCTGTAATTTGCCTCTACAAACAATTTACATGTAGTTTCAAATGTTGCCACCTTTCTTTCTCTTCCTGTTTTACTTCTTTCTTCGTTTGATCTCTTGCATGAATTACAGAGAACTCAAAAGGTTTTCATTAATTTTGAATACCAAATGAAAGTCTGGGACATTTTCTTATGCAGAAAATATTACTTCCTTTGTTTTTTAAGGACACTACATATCAGATGCAACAAACAGCTTGCCATCGTCCATGATCTTGTTGATATTTAACAGATAATCTTTATTCAGTCTTTTAAAGTCTTATTAATATATTCTCAACAAAAGCAAACAGATTTTCTCTGAGGATCTGGATAAATACTATTTTTCTTCATACAAGAAATATCTTGAGAATCATTAGTACACCAGATCAATGAGCAATTAATTACTTGGCTGATCTGCACTTCCCATTGCCTTGAATGTGCGCCCTGTAGATCAGAAATTATGATACTAGTAACAAGTCAAGTTGGTATTTATATTTTTCCTAAAAAAACCTGATATTTTTTTCATCCAAAGAAGGAGATACGATTCATTATGTCTGCTGCTTAGAATTTAAATATAGTGCAATCCTTAGTGCTACACCATATAAAACTGTACTGTATCAAAATATAAGCAGCCATTGAAAAGATCTGAGGCAGGACATACAAAAAAAAGGTGTGATAATATCACCCTCCTAATGTAATAATATTTTTCTACTCTAATGATTAATGCTAAAATGCATCTTACGTAATGAGCTGCAAAAGCCAGTATCTGCCCTGTAGCACAATAGGATTGCTAAATTCTGACATACTGTACGCGTGCTTATAATCTAAACCTATTTAAGAAATTTATCTCCTAGTCAGGTGACAAATTATGATCTTGTTTATATCTGCATTTGAAAAACAAGGAACCTAGCTGCAATCCAAAGAATTGCACAAAATAAATAGTGAAATGCACAAAATGAATAATATGCATGCTCTCACCTCATTCATACTAAAGGCAAATTAAAGTTTTAAGGTTATATACAAAATAAAAATGTATTCTCAAAGCTATAAACCAGAACAGATTATAAATCTTCAGACTGAAAAAAGATAATTAAACAAGTGAGAAACTTAATAATAGAATAACAGAGTTGGAAGAGACTTTGGAGGTCTTCTAGTCCAACCCCTTGCTCAAGCTGTACATGTGTATTTGTTTTACCTTGCCTAAATGTAGAACCTTACTATTCTCAAAATTTAATTTCATTTTGTTAGATAGGGTCAAGCATTCAAGTCTGTCAATATCCTTCTGTATTTGAGCCTATCATCTAGAGCAGGGGTCCCCGAATCCTGGGCCACAGACTGGTTCTGGTCCGTGGCCTGTTAGAAACCAGACCATGCAAGCGGCAGGCAAGCAAAGCTTCATGTATGCCTGCGGGGGATCTAGGTTGCATATGAAACCTCCCTCCTCCCCAGTCTGTGAAAAAATTGTCTTCCATGAAACTGGTGCCTGGTGCCAGAAAGGTTGGAGACCACTGATCTGAAGTGTTGATGTCATCTGAAAATTTGATGAGTTCCCCTTCTATCCCCTCATCTAAATCATTTATGAAGATATTGAAGAGTACTGGGCCTATCATTATTAACATTCTTAAGGGAAAGGGAATATTGCATCCTAAATCAATGCAATATGTGCAAAACGTAGATGCAGCCCAAATGTTACTGTATTTTTTTTAGACCAGCTTGAGGATCCTAGTGAATTAACTAGAAAATCAAACAGAAACAAAAATGGAAGTAAGGACAGCCCCAAAATCATAAATAGCCAAGTTGATTAATTATAACAGAGGGCCATGATTACATAGCCATTTTAGCATGTTAGCAATGAATTTATGATTATTTGCACTTGGAACAATGCTGTAATGTGCATGTGCATGAAAAGGTGAACAGGAAACTAAGCTAGCATGTAGAGAAATTGCAACATGAAACTTGGCAGGAAAGAGTGGGGGAAAAAAAGATAATGTCATGCAACAAGAACCACAAGTTGTAGCAATCATGTATACAGTAGGAATCATGAGTGGGGAGGAGAAGCAACGTATTTGAGGAGGGTTAAGAGTGAGAAAAAATATCCTAATAAACTAGAATATTAAAGAAAAACACAACTTAGTGTTACTAATGGAAGAGAATATTGTGGCTCAGGTTTGAACTGTGAGGTCCTTGCTGCTTGGCTTGGCTGTTTCGTTGCAAATGTCTGCAACTTAGTGTCCTCTAAATAATTTGGACTTCAACTTCCATAACTCCCATCCACTGTAAAGCTGCACTTGGGCCATTAAACCAAATGAACTGCAGGCTACCATGTAGCTAAAAAAATCAACTTTGCAAATGGTGAACCTACAAATATTCAGATGTAGCAGTCAATAAAACTTAAGCGTTTTTTTCCCAATTGGCATTCTGTAGAGGTATTGGGATTATTATTTGATTATGTTGGGTGGGCATTTTGAAAGTTGCAATATGCAACTCCAGAATTTGATCCACATGAAGTATCACAAAGTCCAATCTTCCTGAAATGGTGAACAGGCATAAGAACCTAAGTAGTACCATGAAGGATAGCAGTCTTGCACAAAATGTATTTGAAGTGAAGAAGATTGAGTCTAAAGCTAAGATAACAGATAAATATTTAATTTCTCATATCTCCTGGACTAAGACTAAAGATCTTACTTTTGGGGTGGCTTCCATCAACAAAAGTTAGGTGCTACTTCTTCGTAGATTAAACTAGGGGGAAAAGCCTTTAGAGAAATCATGAGACTATCACACTGTAGCTGGTACTAACAAGTGTGCTAAAAGCAAAATATAAAAAAGCCTTTGTCTTAAGTGCCAGGAGGATTTTTTTTGTACAAATCAAGGCGGGAGGGAAAAACTAGTTGCCAAAAAGGAAACATTTTGTATTCTGGAAGAACCAGTTTCATCCTTTACCGCATTTTCCAAACACAGTCCCATTGTAGAATGGAGAGTAGGTCCCTTTTTACCCAGGGTCTTATTAATATACGCTTTATATTAATATTCTCCAATAGGATGTTTTCCAGTGGATATGAACTTCAACTCCCAGAATTCCAAGAATATTCAATGCTCAGGCAACTTTTCTATTGCTTGCTCATTAAAACTACTAACTTCTGGAAGTAATCCCAGAGCACCACATATTCTCCCAAAGGTCAGAAATAATACATCTATTATGGATTTTGGATTTTTCATTATATTAAGAAGTGTCATTAAATAGCCTACACATTTTATGTAATTCCTTCTATGCATAATTCCTTCTATGCATAATTAAAGAATATCTCCCCAGCTCTCTAAAACTCCATCTGTTATCATTTGGATGGCATTAGATCATTGTCTCATCCTCCTTGTAATGTAATGTTTGACTGGCAAAAAGTGATCCACATTTATTCAAAGTTTAAGAGCATTTTCTAAAGCATAATTGTATACCTAGAACAGTTTCAACAATGTTCCAGTTAGTCATCAGAACCTCCTTGCTTCTAGTTACTGTAACCACATTTTAGGCAAATGGCTGGAAAATGCGTTAAGGAGTTAGAGTCTAAAACAGTGGTCCCCAACCCCCAGTTTGCAGCATGCCAGCAATCGATCCGCACAAACAAGCAAAGCCGCATCCACAAGATGCAGGCAGCATACAAAACCATGTACCCTCCAGTCCACAGAAAAACCTCTCTCCATGGAACCGGTCCCTGGTGTCCAAAAGGTTGGGGACCTCTGGTCTAAAGGACAAATTTACTTTATTTTTTTGGTGCCTTGAAATCAGTGTTGACTCCTAGTGATTGGATTAGTCACTACAGTTGGCAAGATTTTGGAAGTAGTTTGTCACTGCCTCCTTCCTAGAGCTGTGAAAGTGACTGGCACAAGGTCACCCAATGGGCTTCATGCCAAAGGCAGG